AATCGACAGGGGAGGAATTCGTTTATGAAGGTAGCTGTCTTCTGAGATGTTGCGACGTGTAGTTTGTTAGAAATTTACTGAAGATTCAGAGGTCCTTTCTGCCTTCATCATCAGGGCGAGGGCGGACCATAGTTTGGAGAACGAAGTCAAACAGTTTATGACGGCGCAGTATAAAGTACAAGAACGCGCGCGGAATATTCGCTCTGAAATCCCTTCTTCCTCAGTCACTTGGGAGCTCTTGACTTCGTCGCCTGACAAGAAGCGACGCCTCTCAGATTTTAGCCTAGTTCACTTTCACAAGGAGACGGACGTCGGATGGAGCGAGACGGATTCTGAAACCAAGGCGTCGGTGAATCTCGGCAGCCACTCGTGAGCCCTCGCGTTGCTGTGCTGGTGGAGAACGCGCCGCTTGTCAGGACGGGGTCCATGAAGAGAGGTCTTCAGTTTTTGTAGTCTTCAACGTTTGCTGAAGTCAAAAACTCAATCACTTCTCCTTACACTGAGCCGTCCTTACCCACCGCAATTCAGGAAGCTCTGTACCTAGTCACAACTATTAATCTTCACGCAAGATGTCGGCAGAGTCTAATTGAGTGAGAGCGGTCCACAAACCACGCCCTCGTGCTCTTGATTAGAGGCGTCCGTTTCACGTAATGCTGAGGAACTTTCGGTGGTCAAAGTCCACTCGTACGTCGAGTGACGCCGAGGTCGCCGCGTGTTACCGATGTCCTTTTTCGCGTCGTCGCTGGCTAATTGTCTGGAATTCAGAGCTCTCCTCTTTGCATGAGTGACCCTCGACGTAACTTTGAAGATGGTTCGGTTTGCAGTTGAAGCTTTCACCCGGCTTAAAACGGACGCCACTGCGGTTTGCAGTTGAAGCTTTCACCCGGCGTAAAAGGGACGCCACTAACGTTCTTTATAAAAACAATTTCGCGAAACTACTGAAACAAAGGGTAAATTTTAAGGTATTTCCGTGATGAACACCTACAGGAAGGGGCATTCGGAAGCCCTGCACACTGTTCGTCTGTCAGGAAAAGTTGCTTTCAGACTATGAGACGTCGGGGATTCCCGGTGAAGTTATCGATTGTGGTCTTTTGCGCTGTGACGCTGAGTAACCTTATTGGCGGTCACCAACGTTTCCGAAGAACATACCACCTCCATGTCACAGGTAGAATTTGGACGCGATATGATCTTGAGAGTTGACTACAAATGCCGATGAGACATTTAAACTGGGTAGAACGTTTCTTAGTAGAAGTCAGTCTGTATGAAGTAGATGAATCGTGTATACATTCATAAAACAAACATACTTTAGGAACCTCTTTAATATTATCCCGGGCCTTTAAGTATTCAGACTAAAGTCTTATGTGCACTTCTGATTTGCCCCCACCAATGTTTGTCCAGAAGACGTATTTTACTTTATTTGGTCATCCTAATAATGTTTGGTGTTGCGAAAATATTCACAAACTCTCGTTTTGCATCTTCTCTCCTTCTGCTATACGCCATGAAGGCGTGTGGTCGAGTAAATCTCCACACCAGATTTCTGTACCCTTTCTCAAGTTAAACTGATGAGTCAGCTTCTCGCTTATCGCATAATAAAGCCCTGAAGCCACTTATTTTAGGTTGGTGTAACGAGACTGTATTCAGGGCTTGTTCTATTCACAAATTAATGTTTAGTCTCGCCTGGCTCAATTTTAGGTCAAATGTCGAGACACCGTTTCATGTATTAGATTATAATGTCTATTTACCGGATACCTGACTGCAGATTTTAACAACGCCCCCTCACAAATTCAGTGCAGTGCCTTGAAACAGGTGATGACCGCCATCTTGTTTTAAGAAAATGTGGTTTACGTAACGTAACTATTATTAGTTCACAAGTGAACCTGGAAAATATTTGGAATTAATTGGTTCTGGCCTAGAACAAGACACTGTATCTGTAATTTCCTGGAACGCTTGAGGAAACTCACGAAACACCTCAATAGGAATAGACGGTCTCTGAGCCTGAGTCTGACTGCCTTCTTGATAATCACAATCCACGATTATACTGTGGACAGTGTTTAACCTCGGTTAAAACACAGCCGTGGTCTAGGCAACACGGAGTTTTCCTCCGTGGCATCCCAACAATTACTCCATTCACACACAGAAGAAGGCAATGGCAAACCACTTCTGGATCATCTGCCAAGAACGTATATGAACAGGTCCCAGTCCGAGAAAAGGATGGAAGGATCCTGTTCATATGGACCTGTCGTCAGACAGAACACTAAATAATATAATAACCAATTGAATCACAGTACTAGACGACTGCAGTGAGGACTTCGACCTGTCTAGTACTTGTTAAAGGCTATTACGTGATCCTGGACTGAAATACCGCGTGGGTGTTCGTCGACGTCGGAACACAGGGCCGTCGTATAAGATAAGACTGTAGTACAAGAAAGCGATACTCGATAATATGCTGTTTTCTCACAAATCAGATTTTTGAAGATCACGTGACATTTGAGATAGTTTAATCTATTTTAATATTGTAATGAAAATGAAACTGATTTTTTCTCGTTTAAAAAAAATCTCAGCCATGTTCATTATAGACTTTATCGTTGTAATGCTCAAACAAGGCAGAAATATTGATAATTAAACTGCTTAATACACGTAAAAAGACAGCGTAAAGTTTCACGAAAATTACTCATGATTCGTGGTTTACTATCTTATTTGTGATTTAAGCAACGCTGTCCGTACCCCAGACAACAAAATTCCGGAAGGTAGGATAATTAAAGTATAATAAATTAGGAATTAATCGTTCGTGAGACGGTTTTAGATAATATCGAAGAATTTTCATGAAGCTACTGAGAAATCCCTCGAAAAATATCGGTCAGTTTAGTCGTCCTACGGACAAAGATTTCGCGAATACGAAATGAAACGCTAAACACCCGGCCAAGTTTTACGGTTCCAGTTTATTTGGTATTTAATGCCAATAGCTCAAAATTATTGTATTTTACGAGACCTGTTAACTATTACGATAATATTGAAAACAAACTCCGAAAGTTTCCTTGACCGTTGTCTTAGAATTTTCTAAAAAAAGAATTAAAACCTTGGTCACACGGCTTCTTTAATCGCACGTTTCGTGTGTCTGATGATAACAGAATCTGCAAACATATGACCGGGTAGCTTCAGTCAGTAACATCATGCAAATGCCACGTATCCCGCTTTCAGCCACTTGGAAGCTGATTCATGCGACAATAGTCTCTTGGTCTCTTCTCGTGTTTATGGCTAATTCTGATCTGAAATGGTATTCTGGACGATGCTACACTTACGGTAAATGATTTCAGATTTATGGGCAGGGTACCCACGAATAAAATATTTCTATGCTTTTGGTAATTATATATACCGCCTGCTCTGTATGTTTTTCAAAGAGTCTATTATATAGACTTTTGGTTTTTATTTAAAAGACAAAAAGTTGGCAGTGGAACCACGGTTCCGGAGAATTTGACGTAAATACGTCTATACGGAAAGAAAGTTTATATATTGGCTTTATTATAAATATTTCCTTTATACATGCTTTACAATTGAGTAAAGTTTGATTAAGACATTGCTTAATCAACTTGAATTAGTTACGCTTAAGATGGGTCTGTGGTAGCTGAATGTAATGTAATGTAATGAAATGTTTTATAGGTAACAACAATGCCGAGTAAACAGATTACGTTTCCTAGGTAACCAGGTTACACCTTTTCGTTTCCCTTTTTTGCCAAATTATAGACGTACTTACGTCAAAAAAATTAATACCATTTGTTTTTATAACTTTGATATAACGTATTTTCTTTGAGAGACAAGAATAGCATTTTAAATTATAATTTAAATAAATTTTATCGCCTAAAGGAGAAATTTGTGACAATGCCATGTCTGGCGACATTTTATTTGAGGATGACGCAAGTAATATATTTTATTAAATGATACTCTGTTAAAATATTTTTTTAAAAAAATATTTATTCTGAGTACAAATATAGATCATGTAAGTTTTAGCCCGAGTTAATACGGGTAACATAATTAACATAAACTTTCGTTCGGAAAGATTAGCGTATTATTAAATTACAATTTTTTTATCACCTGGCTTATAAAAGAAATTTGGTACCACCCACGATATCTTCACATCTTTGCAATTTGTGCAACGCGTACATAATACTTCCATCGTCCCGGTAGCCATGCAGGCGAAGCATATCAGGAGCAGAACTATTACAACGTACAAGTAGCGTCTATTGGTTTTCCTATGAAGACAAGATGTAACGTATAAGACATAGGATACAATTCTACAAACAAAAACTTCACCTATCGTATTTTTTAACAAAGGCAGATTATTAATTGCTTTATAACAACGTTACAGAATGAATACATGTACATTCCACGCACAATTTTGTCTAAACTCTTTCAGAATTTCTGCTACCGAAAATATTGATATAAATATATATAATTATCAGACCTTAATGGCGAACGATCCTGTAAGGTATTTTCACGAATGACATATATAGTTGATGGTCGTCTGCTTTGTTTCTTCTCCGTGTGGTCTGGTGGAAGTTTACTGACGTTTCGGATGTCGTTGCTGCCTCCATCATCAGGGTTATGAAAGAAATATAAATTATATATTTACATAGCATTAATATATTGTAATTGTACAAAGGTATGGTATTTTTGCTGTTTTAACAACATGGTATTTAAGAATAGATTATGAAAATTATTGCGATTTAAATTCGTATTCTGAAAATATGTTGATATAATAAATGCCTCAAACTTTATTGATCCCCTGTTTAACATAATTTAGTGACACTGTTGTATTTTACGGAACTATTAACTATTTTATTTGTATACGTTTCTTTAAAAAGTAACAGCCATATATTTAAAGGAAAATATTTGAAATATTTATTTAAATACATATTAAGTGACATTTTCGATTTTATTTCTAGGATGTCAAGTTATATTTAATTATTTTATAAAAACATTGCATCTGAGACGTTTTAAAAGGTTTTTATTAATTAATTTGTGTGGAAAAATTCAGGTAATGTCTGTTTTAAAATGAATACCGGTAATGATTTTTAAGTTAAAGAAGTGGTTTCATATATTAAGTAGTTATTATTATTAATTAATTCTGCATCCCTCGAAAATGAAAACTTTGCTAAGGCCTGATAAGAGCTGGAGACACGAAACCACGGAAATAGAAACAAATTGTTGAGACTGCTGTCAGGTATCAGACAGGAAGAGTTATTTTGAAAGTACACACGGCGTGTGCCACAAAACCCACGTTCCTTAACACGCTTTGTCAATAATGATAATGTTCTCTTTAACTCATTAACCCCCCCCTGATGACGGAGGCAGTATGACCTCTGAAACAACCCAGAAGACAAGAAATCTTCAGACTCCGCCGTGAAAACCTTAAAATCCTAAATTCTCTTAAATATATTCTTACATTCTCTTGCTTCGTTCCAACATTTCTCTTTCCTTGGCTTCCTCTTTTAAGAAACGCTGCATTTGGATCTTCTCTAGCTCTGTTAATTGATCCATGACTGCTAAATGTCTGTCGATTGAAGTAAACTCGGCCAGTATTAATTTTAGTGTTGCGAGGCAACGGACAACAATGATATCTGTTGTTGTTGCAATTTCAATTGTTGCCAACAATGGTAAACATGCTAAATTGAGCATCGTCTTCTGAAATGTGTTTAGAAATACAAATATAAAAATTATATTAACAGTGAGGCGTGTGTGCCTATAATTTTGACGATATTTTAGTCATATTAAATTTCTTATCGTTACATTTAAGGAGGAGGCTTCTGGATGCGCTTTTCCTCGTTATTATTGTTGTCATTAGTTCCTCGTCTATTTCTGATACAGCTAGTCTCCGTATACCCACTAGGTCTATCAGAGACCATACAACGTAATTTCAAGGTCAGTCCCTCTGCCAGATGTTTCTGGTGCCAATGCAGTCTGTAGGAGCATCGACATCTTTAACGAAGATCGTGTTTTGCTTACTGAGGTCAGTCAGATTTTTAAACAATAAATATTGTTGTTTTATTGTTGGTTTAGTATAATATTTTATTTTTTCATTTTTTGTTTGTTTTTGTATTTGTAATGTTTTACTTTTATTATTATTGAAATGAATTTAATTATTTATTATATTTCATCCTGTACTGTTGTTCAGTGCTTGACTGTTATTGGCCTTACCTGGCTGTTGTCAAGAAATTAAATAAATAAATTTAATTTAATTTTTAAGTTTATTTTGGGGGGGATGGGGAGACTTGTAATATTTAATTACACAACCACCCCTCTATTCAATTCTACCCCTGTATTCTTCGATATCAGATTATACCGACTAAAGATTTCATCTTTGCATTTACTAAATGTTGAGTAAAACAAATATTTTACATTTTACCCGATAATCTCACATTTCATCTGATACTAATACAATATAAAAAGAAATACTGAATAACAAATTCTGCCTTCAGACTGTGTTTATTTGCAGTCTTGTTGTATTCGACTTAAATATGGCAGCCTACTCAAAAAATCCCGTTGTTAGTACAGACTTATCCCGAAATCCCTTTGCTGATTCAACGTAATTTGGAGTGCGGACTCATTCGTAAATATTGCTAGAGCCTGCTTCAATACTTTCAAACTCCTTCTATTTGTCTCCATTAGTGAAATATTCGTAGCATGTTGTCAAATAGGCCTGTGTACACCACCGAAAAGTAGAACACTAATCAATACCGTTAAAACTGTACATTTCAAATGTAATTTGAAAACTGTCGTTGATGGTACGACGTCGATCTTCGTGAATGGCCTGCCGAATCTTGGTAACATTTTCGGGCGTTGTGCTCGAAGATGGTCGTCCAGAACGCTCGTCATCATCGACAGGGGTTCGGCCATTTTTAAAACGTGAATGCCACACAAAAGTTTGCGGACTCCCCAAATGTTTGCTTTAGCATTTCATAGGTTTCCGTAGCGGTTTTGGCGAGTCTTTGGCAAAATTTGATTTGTTCATGAAAATCCGCCATTCCGAAATCGCAGGAGGGTCGGTGTAATGCACTACCAAAACGCCCGTAACTAAGAAACAAATGCTAATTCGATGATGCCGGCTGGCACACTGATTCACTATGAATGTAGGCCGCACCCCCTAGCGGCAGAAGCTCGTACTACATCCGGTTCGCCCTCTATTGACACAGACTGGAAACTTTCCGATCGCACCTCGTATGTATTGCTATATTGCATTCCATGCTAATTACAAGGCAATGACGTCATTTATAATTTTAACAGACGTTATCTAATTATTTTATGTGCAGTTACGACAATCGAAATTCGATGTTTTGTTTTTAATATTTTAGATGTAGATTTGGATCATGTATCACCACAACAAAAGCTCATTATTTTAATAATGCTTTGAATAATTTATTGTGTATGCTGGATATATGAAATTCCATGATTTTTAAGACATCGTCGATTGTAAAACGCGGTCTTGGATTAAGAACAGGTTTTCAGAATAAAAAGCCTTATAAATTCTTAGACGCTCTCAAATGTAAGACGCACAACGATTTCAGAAGTTGTAAAATATGAAAAAGAAAAATCCGTCTAAGCATCGAGGAAACACAGTATTTGTTATTTTTAGTTATTTTGATATTTACGTAAAGGGCTTGAATTTTGGCCTACGCATGAACAGGAGTCTAGTACTAATAATTAATATGCCTGTTCAAGTAATTCGCAGCTGGATATAAAATTAAGTGGAAATTAATCATTATATGAAATCGTCCATGTTGTTGTTATGAATGGTAACGTCGTGTGGACTTCTAGGTAGATACTGACGTTTAGGTATGTTCCTCCGAAACGTCGGTTGTCTACCTGCATGTCCACCTCAATTTTAAACCCAGAAGACCGATATTAAAGCTCGTCCTTGTTTCTGCGTATTAATAAATTCATGTATTTAAGAGCTGAATTGAAAAATAAATAACTCAGAATGTACGTACTTAAAAAGCATATAGGCTACAATATATTTGATGATCTATGAAGAACCAGGGGAGTGCCTGTTAAAAAGTAGTTATAAATATCTCACACACTTTATGTTAAATCGAATCTGGCTTGAAAGGACAATAGGTTTCTCAAACATAAGTGTGGGATGATAATAGCGAGACGTATGAGGGGAATTTGTGAGATGGAAATTTATGTGCTGCAATCTGGTGGCTATAGAGGGAATTCGAGTGCTTATAATAGTTACGATGGTGGCTATTGGCGACCACTTTTATGTTATCTTTGAATATATGTCGTGGTTATTATTTTAATCGTTGTTCGTATTGATACAAGTGGGAATTAGCCAAAGTGTTTGTCGTTGGGACAGGTTAGGTTATAAAATGTTAGGACACGTTTATTTTCTGATAGGTTAAGTTGGATTATATGTTGCAATATGAATTTTAAATACTATAATTTGGAATGTGGGAATTATGAAATTTTAAAACTGGATTTTGAAATTTCGAAAAAAAAAAATTAAAATTATGAGTGTTTTCAAATTTTAAAAATCTAAAAGATTTTTAAATTTTGAAAATGTTTAATTTTATTTTGTGCTTTTAAATGTGCGTCGCAAGGATAGTTTAGGTAATAGCAGTTTAATTTGGTTATATAACAGATTTTGACTTGCAGATGTGTTTATATTAATTTAATGTTGTAGGTGTTATTCCTGAAGTGTGAGCAACAATAAGGTATAAAGATTCCCATTAGTATGCAGCAGTTGGTCCCAACAGTTCGAACGATTAGAACTTACTGGGCTAGAATGAGGTCAAACAGCTACTATTGTTGGAAGCCATAATTGCAGTGAAATGGGACCTGAGACCGTGTTAGAACAGGAACAATGGAAAGTCATTGATGCAAGAGTGTAGAACACCAAAGGTTTGGTCTTAAACAAATTCAAGGATAACCAAATACGTGACAGTAAACTCACGGCCTTTGTATTTACGTAAACCTATGCAAAATTTGTGACAAGATTTTTTCCGAAAAGCTAGTAAACTAGATTTTCTTCTGAAGTATAGGGAACAAATATTTTCTAAAATAAATTATAAACCGATATCATTTCCATATTTCGAAAACGACTATTTATAAAGCAATTAAGTCCAGCTAGTTTTCCAATTAAAGGAGTAAAACGTACATTCTTTAAAATAGTTAAAATTTAAGTACGAACGTTGTATCTGCGAGTATGCGGGCTATCTCAGAGATTAAACAAACTGCTACAAAGAGAATCAGAATGTGAGATTACATTTCACACGACGTAAAGTCACGACATCTGCAAGTGACTTAGTGACTTATCATTACGTATTAGTTAAATCAGAGCCGCCATAACTGGACCTTATAATTTACACATTTATAAACCGCACATAGCAGATATCAGTTCATTAAACAATAATATCGATGCTATGAACATTTTGAAATAGATTACGTCTAAAGAGGTTTTAATAATGGGTGTTATAATGTTTTGGTACACGTAAGCTGTTAGAAATAAAGAGCTGATATTATAAACTTTAGAATCTGTTCATTCAATTCCCTAAATGAATGATTTGAAGTTTAATGAAATTTGGTCCGTGTTTAAACATGTGGAACATTTTAACTAATAATCTGGGATAATGTAGGCTAATCCAGACTGTCTTATACACAGAGTAAAAATTCGTTCTTTATAATATTGCGTACTTCGAAAACTGCGTTGATTATTCATAAACGTTGTTGTGTATCTCACACTTTAAAAATATTATTTCTTGCTTTCTGAGTTACAATATTCTGATTGTGTGAGTTGAAGGAGGATTTCTATTGTGTGGCCGCTTAGATTCTTAGACATTTGAGAGTGGTCTACTGGCTTCATCAGGGCGTGCGGTAGATATGAAAAGCAGGGAATGAGGATTTTGAGATATACAGAAATAAATAAATAAAATTTAAAACGGAGTTTGGAATAACAAAATAAATTTCGAATTAAAATCTACCAAGTTCTACAACGCATAAGGGACCCATTGAAGTAAACTCAGTTTGTGTTACTCTTAAAACAACGACGCACAGGCCAAGATTTAAGAACTTTGTAAAAATTTAGCAGACCAAAGTATCTCATTGTCATTTATGGGTAAGGGAGTTGGGTGAAAAGTTACTACCGGCAAATACTGTACTTAGAACCGAACAGCGGAGTTGTTAGAAGTCAAGCCTTTAATAATAAAGACCTAAACAATATTTTCTCTTCGGAATACCGTCATCAAAATCTCCCGTCATACTCAGAACGACTGTGGAATAAGATTACAGAGGATTTATTCTACTTTAATTTAGCACGTAAAATCTAAAGCGTATTAATAGGTACGTGCTCTGTGGCTGGCCAACCTTTTTATGCGTCACCAACAATTATTTATTATTTATTTAAATACACGCGTCAAATTTCCCCTGGAGAGGTCTATTTATATCTGATCTTCAATATGTGATCAATTGATGTTAGACCTTTATAATTAATAAACTTCTATATACAATTCTCTTGGAATGCAAGCGTCCAATTTTGAAAAAGAATATTGCAGGTAACTTTGGAATATTACATTATCCTATTTGTTCTGTTGTTGAATGAGAAAGTTATACTTA